GGCTGTTATCACTATGAATAAGATGATGGGATTGTTGATGACTAACGTTGAAGGTGTTGGCATTGTTAAGTTAGTGAATGCTGCTACTCAGATCGGGGAAGCCGTTGAGCAGGAGGTGGGTTTTAATTTCTCGTGGTGCTTTTGATGCTATTTCATGATATAGTTTGAGAGTGAATATAGTAATGTGTCATTGATACATATTGCCTTGGCCCCATGGGTTATGAAGTGTATATTGGTTTGATGGTTTGTGTATTTTGTTACTGGATCAGGTCAGGATCAACAGTTTTTTGCAGAAAAATAATAAAAAAAATGCAACTGGCAAGACGATCAATACAGAAGCTGTGCATGTTTCAGAAGAAACCGTGGCCAAAGAAACGGAAAAGGCGAGGAAACGAGCTACTGTACTGATGGAAAAAAATAAGTTGAGGGAAGTAAAAGTATTAGTGAGGAAACATGACTCATTCAAGCCATGGGGTCAAGAGGCTCAAGTGAAGGTTTGTTTATACTTCCACACTTGTTAATGCACAGAGCTTTATAATAATTCTTCTCTTCCTTCTCTTTTTTTCTCTTCTCTGTGATTCAATCATATTGGCTCTTGTGCTTCTAGGTCGGCGCACGTTTGATTCAGCTGCTGATTGAAAATGCATATATACAACCTCCAGCTGAACAGTTTGATGATGGTCCACCTGACATCCGACCTGCTTTTAAGCAAAATTTCAGAACTGTCACATTAGAAAATACGTAAGAGTTTTGCATTTCTGTTTATGCTCATTCACATGTATCTGTCTGTCTCTCCCTCTCCTTGTCTCTGCTGTTTATTTACATTCTATTGTATTCTTCCTCAGAAAAACGAGCAGGAGATATGGTTGCATCGAATGCGATCCTTTGGTCCTAAAGGGCCTTGACAAATCAGTAAGCAGAATCGTGGACTATGTTTTTACTGTTCTTTTATCTGGTATCAGTTGTACCTTTGTGATGTTTGGGTCGGAACAATCTTTTACCACTATAGATCAAGGCATTTTTAATTGAGTCTGAGACAATCTTCCTACTCTTTTCTCACAATTTTCCTTTGTCTTAAACAGGCTAGACATATGGTCATTCCCTACTTGCCAATGCTAATACCTCCCCAGAACTGGACAGGGTATGAGATCTTTTCACCAATAATTAGGACTTATATTGTTCCTTTCTTACTCTTGCTAGATCCCCTTTATAGATTTATCCTTTTATGGCATTCGTTCTTATATAGCCGTCATACAGGGGATATCTACAGTTTGCTCAAGTATGTTTCTAGAATTGCTACTGACAGTATTTTACAGGTATGATCAAGGGGCACACCTTTTCTTGCCTTCATTCATCATGAGAACACATGGAGCTATACAACAACGTACTGTAATGAGACGAACGCCAAAGGAGCAACTGGAGCCAGTGTTTGAGGTCTGAGTTCCTTTACCTGTATTGCGAGTTAATATTTCTTGAGCTTAACCATTTATTGGATGCTTAAAAGCAGATGGGAGTTGCGAAATTTATGAATATTGTGTTATTAACAGATAAGTTCATGTGATTCCTTTTGTTTAATCAGGCTTTAGATACTCTAGGAAACACCAAATGGAGAATAAACAAAAAGGTGTTAAGTTTGGTGGACAGAATCTGGGCTAATGGAGGTCGCCTTGGTGGTCTGGTTGACCGTGAAGATGTAAGATCTCTCTTATTCACCCATCCGCTAGCCATCTTCTTCAGAAGAATGAAGAATTTTGATTCCTACATCTCTTTCATAAATTTTGATTTTTTCTCACGTCTTTATAAACTACAAAAGGTACCCGTTCCAGAGGAGCCGGAAAGGGAAGACCATGAAAAATTTAAAAATTGGAAATGGGAATCGAAAAAAGCAATTAAGCAAAATAATGAGAGACATTCACAAAGGTGTGATATAGAGCTCAAACTCGAGGTAAGAGAAGACTTCTTTTTGCACTCTTTTTTGCTGCTGTGATGTATAAAAACATCTTGATTTGATTGAGCAGGTGGCACGTAAAATGAAGGACGAGGAAGGTTTCTACTACCCTCACAATGTTGATTTTCGTGGCCGAGCATATCCCATACATCCATATCTTAACCATCTCGGGTCTGATCTCTGCCGAGGCATCCTTGAGTTTTGTGAGGGAAAGCCTCTTGGGAAATCCGGGTTGCGTTGGCTGAAGATACATATAGCAAACTTATATGCTGGTGGAGTCGATAAGCTGGCTTATGAGGATCGGATTGCGTTTACTGAGAGTCACTTGGAAGATATATATGATTCTTCTGATAGACCTCTTGAAGGAAAAAGATGGTGGCTTAACGCAGAGGATCCCTTTCAATGTTTGGCTGCTTGCATTAATCTTTCAGAAGCCTTGAGAAGCCCCTTTCCTGAAGCTGCTATATCTCATATCCCCATCCACCAGGTACTCGCTAGATTTTATCTATACTTGTACATGAACAACTTTTGTGACATTCTGGCGAAATGAAAATTATATAGGCGCCTTTGTTGCTTCGAGATCATCATCTGTAAGTAGATAATCTTACTTTCCTTTATTATTTTTCTATTGCAAGGATGGTTCATGTAATGGTTTACAACACTATGCTGCTCTTGGGAGGGATAAGGTATGCCATTAGTTTTACAGTAACTATAATTTTTTTTTGTATGCATCCTTTCGAGCATAGGCAAATGTATTTCTCCTGAAGGTTCTCTGATTCATTTCTTTCAAATTGGTTCTATTATAGTTGGGCGCAGATGCTGTCAACCTTGTAACAGGTGAAAAGCCGGCAGATGTTTATGCAGAAATTGCGGCTAGGTACTTTATCTATCTTTATATTCCCTTATCTCTCTGGCTATAGTAACACTCTACTCAGACAGGATTTTAACTTGGTTTCATTAAATCAGGGTTTTCAAGATCATGCAGCAAGATGCAAAGGAAGATCCTGAAACATTTCCAAATGCCACATATGCCAAACTCATGCTCGACCAGGTTTTTCACATCTCTTGCTTGTTATATTGGCCACTTTCTGCCAAACATGTTGCCTGACAACCCATTCTTATCCCACCACTATAAGGATCAGATGTACTGCTACTATGTGTCACTGTAATGCTTGTTTGTAATCATCCTATCTGACAACAGGACTCTACTATTGAAATTCCTTAGGTTGACAGAAAGCTGGTAAAACAGACTGTCATGACATCAGTGTATGGTGTTACTTATTCTGGCGCACGTGACCAAATAAAGAAGAGGTTAAAAGAACGTGGTACCTTTGAGGACGATTCACTGACTTTTCATGCAGCTTGTTATGCAGCAAAAGTAAGGAAATGATAATTTAATTGCTTGATTTGGGCAACAATATACTTTCTATGGTTATGCATTTTTAATCTGCGATTGATTTTTGCATTTTGGCATCGAATGTTCACTCCTTTTTTGGTTCTGTTTCTAGATCACTTTGAAAGCATTGGAAGAGATGTTTGAAGCTGCTAGAGCTATCAAGAGTTGGTTTGGTGATTGTGCAAAGGTCAGTTCTTATATCCGTGATGCTCTTATTGAGGCTTCCGCTTAAGAAATTATAAGTTACGAAGGAATTTTCACTTGACAAATGGTTACGACAATGAGAGTTGTTTTCTGTGGTGGACAGATAATAGCTTCAGAAAACAAAGCAGTTTGTTGGACGACTCCTCTTGGACTTCCAGTTGTACAGCCTTATCGGAAGCCTGGAAGACATTTGGTAATGCTCTTGACTTCTTTGATAAATGAAGGAGCACAAATGATCAGCTGAAAAAAATTGATAGAATATCACTGAATTTGAGACGCATCAATTTTGGCAGGTTAAGACTACCCTTCAGGTGTTGACTCTAAGCCGTGAGACTGATAAGGTAACCCAACCAAATTTCATTCACCATAACTTTTTTTCTGACATTCTTATTTGTAGAAAGAGTAGGGTTCAGCCTACATCTTATCGTAATGTAGCATTTGGGTTGATTTGATGAGTTTTAAGCAGAATAGTCTCATCTTTCTGCACCACATACTGTATTCTTGGTTCAGGTCGCGGCGAGGAGGCAGATGACTGCTTTTGCACCAAATTTTATACATTCTCTTGATGGGTCTCACATGATGATGACAGCAGTTGCCTGCAACAGGGTGGGCTTGAGTTTCGCAGGTCAGCTCTATAGCCTTTCCATATGCATTTACCTGATGTTGATTTCTCATTCTAGATTCGTACTCTTCATACCAATTTCGTATTTGTAGGGGTGCATGATTCGTTCTGGACGCATGCATGTGATGTTGAAATAATGAACACAATACTCAGAGAGAAGTTTGTCGAGCTCTACGAAAAACCAATCTTAGAAAACGTAAAAGAATCTACTTATTTCATATTTCAGGGGGAATACTACCAACGTTACAATTTTATTTCTTTGTTTTCTTATAACTAAACTCATGATGGCTGGTTTATCTGTGTATTGATAGTTGTTGGAGAGTTTCCAAAAGTCCTTCCCAGACATAAGTTTTCCGCCATTACCAGAACGAGGCGACTTTGATCTGAGGAAGGTCCTACAGTCGCCATACTTCTTCAACTGAGCTGCAGCACATTCAGGTCACATGCATATTTGAAGCTCCAATACTCCACATCTAACATTCAGGGCAGAGTATGTTTGCTTCTTCAGGCCAATACAACAGCAACATTGATCAAAGGGGAAAGATTCTTTGCAATCAGCAATAAGGAATGTTGATGCTTAACCTCAACTCAGAGGTGGGCTTCGGTTTACTTGTAAATATACACAGAAAGAGTGTTTCAAAGCTTGGCAGAAGGGAAGGCATTGGGTCGGAGTATCAAACCAGTGGCTGTGGCACTCCAGATTACTTGCAGTTTCTTATCGACCACAGAAGTTTACCAAAAGATACAGTTCCAGCTTGCTGTGGTTTTAGTAGTTTTGATTGACGTGTAATTTATTCTGTACTCTAAAATGCATAATAAATCATAATATAAGAAACAAGAGATACATCGGATGCTATTATTGTGCATACTTAATGAGTTAATAATGTGAAATAAGAACTATCCAAACTCTCTTGGAACTTTCAAAGAATTGAGTTAAGCATATGCGGAAACAATCTTTGAGCTTCCAAACGTTAAAAAAAACGAATGACTATAAACTCTCTCTGTTAATCTTATCATGGCCGCACCAAGAGAAAAGTTTTGGATTTGATCGTTGAGAGATTTTTTCATGTGGTAAGACCAGCCCAGTTCTTAAAGGCATCAAGAAACTCCATTTTCTTCATCTTCCTCTTCCTCAACTTTGGCAATCTGAGATTCTTTTGAGTCTCCATGAACGTTGCCTTGTACCTCCACTTGTCCACGAATATCTTCATCTCCTGACATTTCTCTATCACTTGCAACGCCGTGCCAAAGAACCCTCCTTTGACTAATGCATTCAAGAACGCATCCGCAAGAGCATGCTCCAGTTTTGCTTTCTTGTCTTTGAACTCTTTCCACAAAACCACCACCTCGAAGTACTTCTCGCAGCTCACATATCCATTGATCAATGACAAGTATGTCTGGTTATTTGGCTCATACTGAAGGAAAGCCATCCTTCTGAATGTACTCTTTGCATCTTCTAGGCGCCCAGATTTGCAGAAGGCATGGATGATGGAATTCCAATCATGGGACTTCACTTCTACGCGAGGATCTTCCACAACTTCCTCCACAAACTCTGCCATTAAATCAGGTCTCTGATTCTCAAGGAGACCTGTCATTATTGTTAAGTAGCATCTTTTCAAATCTGATACTTTTGTTTCTCTCATATCCTTAAACAATGTAAGCGCAGATAGGAAATCCTGTTTCGTCATGGAAAATTCGATCATAGTGTTATAGGTCTCAACGTCTAATTGAAGCCCAGAGCTGCTGATCTCTGTAACCAGCTGAGTAGCTTCAGCTGTTCCGCCTTCTTTGCAATAGGCCTTCAAGATCGGCACATACACCCCAATCCCTCCAGATCCTCCCTGAGCATTCATTTCATCGAGAATACTTTTACCCGAAAATCCGAGCTTGACACAAGCATTTACGATTCCAAACCCAACTGAACCGTTAACGTCAATGGACAGAGATTCAAGCTTCTGAGCTTCGATTATCAGTTTGGCTAAACACTTAACGCTTTTACTCTCTATAAACCCTTTAACCAATTCACAGTACGTTTCCTCACGGAAACTCGAGTCTTCTCCTCCTCTTTTAAGACTATGCAGTATAACATCAGAAACACTATCTAAATCACCACTCTTAACATATCCACTGATCACATTAGAATAAAGGATTCTTCTACTTACAAACCCAAAACCATCCATTGAATTCTCAATCTCACTAATCTTCTCTCGAAGCCCCTTTCTCGCATACAAATAAGCAAGAAACCCAAAGCTCGATTCGTCAGGCTTCACACCCAACACAGCCATAGATTCAATCACATCTTCAGCATCAGCCAGAGATTCCAACTGCCAGCAACACGCTTCAAGAGCCGCATTACTAGCTACCAAATCCGGTTTCATAAAATCAAGCTTCTCATATACTGCAATTCTACAACTTTCCCTAAAAACCTTAAGAAACGCAGCCAGGCTTCCAGTTTCACTACAGATATCAATAATCAAACGCCCCCAGAGATCAAAAGGAACAAAGTACCTGTTTTTAAACATACACTCCACCAAAGCCAACGCTGGCCCGGAAGTTTTCGCTAGTTTCATTGACTCCAAAACCGTACGGATGGTCTCAAACTCAAGCAAAATCGGATCTTTCTCGATAACGTAAGTCGTGGAAACAAAGGCACGCTTGAGTCTGTGCCTGAGGGAAGTGTTTTGATCTGCGTGGTGTAACGAGGACAAGTGGGTGATGAGAGAATTTAGGAGACGCTTGTCGGGGAGAGAAGAAGCGGCGGCGAAGGATCGGAAGACCTTCCATGCTTGATCAGTGTCGTGGGTGATTAGTGAATGGTGGAGAGTTGATTCAAAGGAGGACTTTTGGTGTGGGGTTAGGGTTTTAGGCGATGGTTTTCGGGAAATTGAAGAGAAGGGTCTTCTTAGTGAGATTAAAGTTAGAGTCTTTCTCAACATTCGAGAAACAAGGAATCGTCTCTGTCTCTGTCTCTGTCTCTTTGTTTATTGCACAGTCCTAACGTTGCTGAAGTTTTGACTTTTGACTCGTGCAAGGAAATTGAAGTCATAAGATACTCTGATTCACACAGAGGTTTCGGTGCTGAGATGGATACACTTTGAAAGTGTTTTAAGCAGTATTCTAAAATACGGTCTGGACGGCCGTATATACGGCATATATACGCTGTACGGTAGAAAGCTGTACTGTATTATAGCTATTTAGTTGTTTAATACGGTGAAAGCTATACGTTCTACAAATACGGCGATTATACGGCGTATATACGGTGAAATCCGCATATGCGACGTTTTTTTTAAAAGTACTCAAAACAAAACAATGTCATTTTATTAATATTTGGAAAAATGATTTAACAAAATTATTAGTTTGGCTCTCAAAAAATTAATCATAATAATTAACTATAAAATAACTTAATTATCATTCTTTTCCATTATTTTTATGCTTATTAGGGCTTGATTGGTTATCTCGCTAGCACCCTCCTAGCGGTTGCTAGCGGTCGGTTGCGGTTGTTAGCGGTTGGTACCAATCATAGAAACCGCTCCGTCATGCTTCGAACCGCTCAAAATCGCTGAATTTCAAAAGCTCCTTTCCGCAAGCGTTTGCGGTTGCGGGCGGTAGCGGTTGGATTAAAAAAAAAAATTTAAACATTTACTTATAATTATTATAATAATATATATTAATTCTATATATATCTTCATCTTTGTATCACTTTGTATCACGTTCTCATCAGAAACCCTAATAATATTCTGAAACTCTATTCTCTCAATGTTTTCCATCCAAACTGATGAAAATTAATAACCAAATGTAAGTATCATATATCTTTTTATTCATTCATCACCTCATGTGTAACTTTTTGAATATTTTTCATGGCATCGTTTTTTTTTTTTTCATTACGTATTGCTTAGCTTTTTGATTGAATATATGTTTCGATTTGTTTTCTCGAATAGAAACTCACTTGCTTTTTGATTGAATTCAACGTTATTTACAGTTTTTCCCATTACTTGATGCAATTTTTGATGTTAAACCAGATGCATAAAGTACTATCTTGTTACAAAATTTATTTATTTTTGAATAATTATTTAGTACTTTATTTATGGTTTTAATTATTAAGCATGTTCAATTTTTCTAATATTATCATCATAATATATTGGTGTTTTTATTTCTTTTTTTTTGAAATATTTTTTATTTATTTTGGTCATTTTTTTATTTAACTGCTATCGCACCCGCTGGTTTACCAGTCATAAAACTCCCGTAAACGCACTAATTTTCAAACGCTAAACCAGTCGTTCAAAACGCTTGATAACGCTTAAAGCCGCAACCGCCCGCTTCCGCAAACTCCCGCAACCGCAACCGCAACCGCTGCGTTTAAACCAGTCAGACCCTTAGTTATTTAAAATTTTAAAAATATTTTGTAAAGTTGAAAATTTGAATTTTTTTGTATTCATGTATAGTATCATCATGTTACTATATTTATGTTTCATTGTTATTATATATATTTATATTTATTTAATAAAAAATATCTACCGTATAGTCCCCGCATAAACGACCGTATATACGTCTATACGCTATACGGTGCTCCACCGTACGCCTAGCGTATAGCGTATTTTAGAACACTGGTGTTAAGTTTCATGTTTAACAATTAACAGCTTCAAAATTCACTTACAAACTGGAAAGAGAGGATCTTAGGACAATGTGATGATTCGCTGGTCAAGGAAACAAGGTTAGATAAGTGAAAATCATCTTCATGTTGGGACACAACAAATCAGAAGAATCTAGAGAAAATGTACTACTTGTACTATCTGGACAGATGAATTTGATGAGTATCTTCTCCTATTATGTAATGAACATTCATATGCTATGGCATACATAGTAAAACCTCTTTATCGAAGCAACTAATTTCGCAAACAAGTTCATGTCTTCATATTTTCATGAGAAGTATAACAAAGCATCTACATTTTACTAGTTTGAATCCTTTTGACTAAGGTCACTTTGTTATTAGGAAGAATAATTGCAGCAGAACTATTCGAGTTCGTAGTACATATTTAAAACCATGCAAGTTTGCTATTGAATTGTTGATCAAAAAGTTTGTTCCTTCTAAGAGAGGCTAATTGAAGCCACAAACATCATATGAATTGCTTTAAAGAAGTGGTTGTTTGATGTTTCCTACACCATTGAACCCATAGGAAAAGATACTCCACTAACCCAAAAAATGGAAACAAACAAGTTTCCAAAAATTGATACAATATATCATTATCTAGTGAGTTATTACATAAAATAAGTTAATAAATAAGAAGCGGGGATAGCTCAGTTGGGAGAGCGTCAGACTGAAGATCTGAAGGTCGCGTGTTCGATCCACGCTCACCGCATTTCTCAATATATTTTTTTTCTTGTCTACAAAACACCCCAACACTTAATAGATTTAGGGGTGTCAAAATGGGTAACCCGACCCGACCCGACCCAAACCCATATGGGTTCGAGTGTTTAATGGACGGGTTTGACCCGACCCATATATTTATATGGGTTGAATTTACATACCCAAACCCATTATTGTAGAAATCTATTGGCTTAATGGGTTATATGGGTACCCATATATATGTATAATAAAATATATAAATAATAAAAATCCAAAAAATAACATAAAATTGTAAACCAACAAAAGTTTTTAAATAATAAATTAAAAAAATCTAGATATTAAAATAGAAAAGCATCCTAAAATCTTAAAACCACAAATCCAAAGAACCATAAAACCAAATAAAAAAGAAAAAATAGTCTTAATTTAAAGAACATTTGAATCTTCTTTAGATGCATCCGAATCGGATTTTACTTTTTACTTTTATTTTTAGGTAAAATGTAAACTTTAATAGTTATTTTAGATATTTTACATATATAGTTGTAAAGAAAAGAAGATATTTTACATATATTTATATAAATTTTACATAATATATTAATATAGATATATATAAATTTTACTTTTTAATTTTCGTTATGAAACCCATAGGTAACCCATGACCCTAATGGGTTTTATCCATTAAACCCATAACCCTAATAGGGTAACCCACTAAAACCCATTTATATATATTGGTAAAAAAATTCTACCCAAACCCACTAAAATCATGGGCGGGTTCGGGTTACCCATGGGTATTAACCCATTTTGACACCCCTAAATAGATTATCGATTTAAGCCTAACTGATCATTTCCTTTGATTTTATAATGCTTAATCGCAGCACATATGGTATTCCTATGTCATAGGACAGCGTATTGATCTGTTCAAATGTGGAGTTTTATAGAAAATCAAACCTAAATATGTGCATATGAATCATGATCATTTATATACCAGACAGGAACTTCTATGTAACAACTATTAATAGTGGGGTAATGTTAAAAACAGCATAGAAATACTGGGTGTGTTTCTGAATTTTCTTCACAGGCTTTTTCCGGTTATAGAAACTTTACATTTTCTTGCACCTCTAATAAATTATTCCACAAGGAAAGAACAAAGTTTGGATTTTGTAGGGTTTTGCTGTCTTTGACTCTCTTCTCCTAAATTAGGGTTTTACAACAATGTCTCAGCTTTTGTTGTGCCGAATCTCAAAGCTCTCATCAGCCCGGAACCATTTCCTCTGTTTCCGACGGTCAAAATTCTCTACGGCCACGGCGGCGGCAACACCTTACCTCCTCCTCGGCGACGATGTTGTCGGAATATCTCCTTGCGGTGGAAAAGTTGTCAACTTTAACCTATACGATCCGAGGAGACAAGAGCAAGTGAAGATCGAAAACAAGATTCTATCAAAGGAGGTCTATAAATCTCGTAGGATAGGATCATCAAGAGGATGGTTAGCTTTGGTGAACAAGAAAGATTTAACAGTGCGTCTCACTAACATCTTAAACCCTTCGAAGAAGATCATTTCTTTACCTCCAATAACCAGAGACAAATATGAACACCATGTTAATGTCTCTGTCTCATCTTCAAATGAAGAAGATTGTGTAGTCGCCGTCAAGTTTTACGGGTCACGAGTCAGTCTTTGTCGAACTGGTGACTCCGAGTGGACTCGCATCAACGTGCCTTGCCCATCTTTCCATTCTTCTACCGTCATTTACTCGGAGAGAGACCGGAGATTTTACTTGAACAATTGTAACCCTGACTACACTGGTCCAACAGATTTCACACCGAAAACCGGTTTTCCCACTCCGGTTAGTGGCTACAAGAGATTCCTCTTCTCTAACTTTCTTGACGAATTACCAGAGTTGAAGAACGAAATGCGTCTCTCTCGTTTCAGGATCCAACAACAACTAGTCGAGTCAGCTTCGGGCCAATCCTTCATCGTTGCATGGTAATAAAAACCCATTCTTCTGTCTTTTTCTCTACTTTGTGTTGTTATAAGGGATTGAAGATGAGTTCATCTGTGTTGTTGTCAGGTTTGTGGAGAGATTTACGGACAAAGGAGAAGTTGCGACATGGGGAGACGCACGTTACATAAACAGAAAAGACCTTTGCAGGAAGACCCACAAGATCATGGTGTTTCGGCAAGACGAAGAGCAAGGGATTGGTCCTTATACCGATGACATTGGCGATCTCTGCATTTTCTTGGGCGAGAATGAATCTTTCTGTCTCTCTGCCAAGGACTTCCCTGGTCTTAACCCTAACTCTGTCTACTTTGCTGGACATAGTTCCGGTTTTGGCATATGTGATCTCGCCTCTCGCACCATACGTTATCTCTCCGACTCTACTCCACCACCCGGTCGCATGTTTTGGCTTCCTCCCACAATGTGCTAATAAGAGAGAAGGTTTTTGTCTTCAAATATCGATCATCTCGCATTATTAATATAGGATGTGTTTTGTACGATCATCATTATCCCTATCTATCTTTATGTTGTTGATTTGGTGTTTTTAACTATTTTCCAACTCGGTAGAAGGGATGCTTTACGCCATGTTATAAGGTATTAGCAAAGGCTGTTCCTGGTCCATGGGGGGATTAAGGCCTAGACCCAAAACCCCTCTTAGTTAAAAAAAAAAAAAAAAAAAAAAAAACTATATTCCAACTTAAAAATAAAAAAACTTCTTTCCAAACTTGTTGAATTTTTAACTATTGATTGTCATAAGATATATGCATATAGTAGTTTTATAATTTCAGATTTTCTGAAATTCATCTAAATTATTCAATAGATAGATAATTAGTTGTGTCTATTTGTGGGACCGTACACAAACTCACCATTGTAAAAGAATAATTTTATAGGTGTGAGATTCTTGTCCTTTTTAGGTTAGAGATGATCTGCTCTAGCACTTTGTAGAAATTTAATTTGCAAAACACTTTTTGAAAAGTCCTTAAGAAACTAAGACCATGTGTATGGGTGATACTTTTACAGTATCAGAAGCCCAAAAAATATTATTTAAAGGATCAAACAGTTAAAACGGGCCTGATCCGTATCAGTCCAGTGAAACTTCTGATACCTAGTATCAGATGACATGGCGGCTGTTGATTGGTTGCGTTTTCCCGAAAGCAGTGGAAAAAAAAAATCATTTTGTTCTCTCTTCTCTTCTCTCGCGAGAGAAACCCACCGAATTTCTCTCCTTCGCTGATTCTGGCTTCCCGATCATTCCTTTGCTTCTCCTCCGCTTCCGGCGATTTTCTCTCCTCCGCTTCCCCTCCGGCTTCATCTCTTCGATCCATTTCACTTCTCCATTTCTTCTGTTTAGATTCGATCTCATCTCTCCTCCGCCGTTTAGGGTTTTTCACCTCTTTCTCAACTCTCTCTCGAAAACCTAGCTCCAGCTGCGGTTAAGGCCACTAATAAGCCTTTGAAGAAATGTATGAACTTTGGTTCCCTTTTGCCTTAGGTGGTTTGTTCTCTGTCTTTCTGTGTTACATAACGAGTTTGGTATTGAAAGTTTTGATTTTTGTATCTATGTTGCTCGTTCTGCTATGTCTGATGGAATTGGTTGTTTAATTTGTTTGTCTCATGAACGTATAAGACTGATTTGGGAATATATGGTCTTAGAATTCAATAGTCGTTGTTTATTGACTTGTTAATCATGAATTCAGAACCTTTAATGTTGGAAAGTATAGGAGATTTTGGAGGTGCAGTGTGTTAGCTTTTTTCATTATAGATTGTTGCTATGTGCCGTAGACTCATGGATTTTAATAGTTTCCAGCTCAACACCTGATAGTGTGGGTATGGAGTCTTCTGGTATTGCTTTGGGCATGGGAAAGTTCAGGATGCAATAGATATTAGAATTCATCCATGTTCTTTAATTCTGTTTGTGTTATAGTTTGAGATCAAGATTTCACTTGAATAAGTTTCTGAGTACATTGCAAGGAACTCACTTGGAGGGTATGTAGCTCTCTACTTTGCAGTCTGTGGCATTCCCTCTACCTGCAAGAGTGAAAAAAATCACAGAATTGGTGTAAGTGAGACTTTATTAACACATCTTCTGCTGCAAAGTATCATTAACACATCTTCTGACCTGCAACAACAATAACTTTCAAGAACCAGATAGTGAAGTGGAAGATGATGAATCTTTCAATGACATGGTGTCTTTCTATTGGAGTCTTGCTGCAGCCTATGTGACAATACTTCTTGGGATACTCGCATCTCTCTCATTTGATTCTCCTTGGAGCATTGCGTGGTTCTACATCGTATATTCTTTCATCGACAAGGTTAAGAATTTGTTTAGTAAAACACTGTAGGTGCCAAATTCTTCTTATACTAATTTTTGCAAGGAAGCAGTTCTCAAACAGCCTAAAAACGAAACAGAGTATCAATTTTTAATAGCACTGATCAGAGAACTTATGCCACATGTTGGATTCTGTCTACATAATTAACACCAATGTGAATAATAAAATTTGAAACTACACACCAAAAATTGCAGATACTACACACCAAAAATTGCAGATACTACACGTTTCTTGAATTTGGCATCAATCACATAAAGGGGTTATCAAACAAGCAAGAAATATACATCAGACAAATAAAATGGTTCTGGAGGAACCAATATCTAAGTTTCATCAACTCACTAAAAGACATACCACAACATATAGATTTTCAATGGAGTCAAGGTAATTGACTACAAGCGACTAAATTATTTTTATCATCATGTTTTTTTTCAGTTTTTTTGAATTTTATGTTTTATTTTGCTTAAGTATATTCTACGTTTTTTTTAAATCTTAATATTACCTTTTGTAATCTTATGTTTTAATATATTTATTTTTGATTTTGTAATTTTTTTTTATGATACTTAAACCGGTCACACCAATGCAAACATATTTAGTAGAAGTATCATAAAAAATCTCAAACAATAAACAAACATTATAAATAATACTAAAAAATTCCTAATGATACTATATGGATATCACCCATATACATGCTCTAATAGTATTTGTTTTTCTGGAGAACTGAATAGAAGGCCTTCAGGGAACAACTTTTCTGATGAAGCGTTATTAGTAGTAGACGTGTTTCAGTTATATACAAATAACACAATCACATATGTAACGCCAAAACAGTCATGAAGTGTTATTTTTAATGAAAAATCTAAAATTGCTAAGGACGCTATATAATATACTTCAAAAAAATGTTAGTTTTCACATAGACAATCCATAAAATATTATTTGGTAGACTATTTTTTCTATTTTTTTTATTGAATTAGGTTTTGAATCCACGATACGCGTGGATTTGTTCTATATATTTTGATTAAAGTTATATATGATTAATAATAATTAATTAAAATATTATTTTTATAGAGAAATATTCTAAAATAGTACTAAAACAAGTTTTTTGGACAATTATAGCACACACTGCACAAACTTTCAAAATAACATTAGTTTTTGGGTTCTACCCACAAAAATAACATTAGTAGATTGAACATGTCAATCAAGCTGGTAGTAGATAGAGAGTGATAACTCAATGCTCCATAAAATTTTCTTCATAAATTTGGTTTTTTGTTTACAATATATATACAAATATATGCTCCATCAACATAGTTACATAGAAGATATATGTTAGCAAGTATTTGTGTAGTGGAGTAACTACTTGATGGAATTATTTTAGGCAGGAAAACAGTTATACAGACTGATAGAACACATCTCTCTGAAGAGGAGATTGTACGGCCTTGTACGGACAGTGGCGAAATGTTGAGATCGGATCTCCGACAACAGATCCGAGCTTCTCTTGTCTTCCTCATCTCTCCCATCCTATCTTTTCTCTTGAAGCTGTACTAATTGGGCCTAGATCTGCAAGAGAGAACGAGTTTGAAGGAGGAAATAAACTAGCTTTTTCACGAGGAACCGCAAGACCTTGACGAAATGGCTTTCTCCCTCCGGCGTTGCTTCTCCGATGGTAGCCTTTACTGATCGGTGCTTGCTCCTCTTGCGAGACCTCTCCGGCGACTTCCATTCTCCGGCATCGTTGGTCTCTCTTCTCGCCGGCGATCTCCTCCGCTTCTCTCCGTTCTCACAGAACAAGGTTCTCTCTCTCGTGATGGCTTGTACGGACGGTGACGAAGTGATGCTCTTGGATCTCCGTCAATAGATTTGAACTCCCCTCACTAATTCTAGCAATTTGCTAAGTTATAATGTTGTGTCAAACTTGTTACTCTCGGGTGTTCTTGGCTCAAGGAGAAATTATTTTATTTACATGATTCAAAAAGTTTGTTGTTTATTCCGACTGTGCGGCTTGCCGCCGTCGAGACCCATCTATGGCTCGGCCACTAAATATCTCTTGCCGGTTGCCACGACCATTGTTGGCGCCTTCTCGGCCCCCATGGCTGAAATTTTGTGTCGGCGGAAGCTCTCTATCTCACTCCTTTTCCACTGGTTGACTCGTGTACCGGTGAGACAAGTGTTGGCTTCGTGTCTCCTTCATTTCGGTGATGCGTCATCCACCGCACAACCACCGTTCTTCACCACCGAGTCTCGCCGTCGCTCCATCTCCATTATGACCGAGCTAGGTCGAGATAGTATCGTTTTAGGATATTTGCTATTAAAACGGGTTTGGGCTTGGCCCATTTACGTTTTTATTCAGGTCTGTCTAAGCCTAGAAAGTTTTATGGACTTAAAGCCTGTTTGGCCCACCAAAATAAGAAGTTTGGCTTTAAGATTCATTTGTATTATCCGGATTATATCATATTCCTCCTTTTTTATGGAGAGTATTTTCTCAATTATTAGTACGGCGAGGTTTTATTCTCCTTCCGGAACTAATACATGAGGATTCTAGCGTGGAACTGTCAAGGGGCGGGTGCGCAACTTACGACTCGTCGACTGGAGGAAATGTGTCGTATGTATTCTCCAGGTTTTCTTTTTTTTTTTTATCGGAAACTAAAAATGACCTTACACATCTTCAAAATATGCAAGTATCTTTAGGTTTTGATTCACTAAAAACTGTTGAACCAAGTGGTAACAGTGGTGGTCTCGCTCTTTTTTATTCAAAGGACTATCCGGTTAAGTTTGGTTTTGTTAGTGATCGGCTTATTGATATTGGCTTATTGATATTGAGACTATTATTGATGGAAACAGAGTTTTTATTACTTTTGTGTATGGAGATCCGGTCGTTCAGTACCGAGAACTAGTTTGGGAGCGTTTGACTCGTATTGGCATTACTCGTTCTGATCCATGGTTTATGATCGGTGATTTTAACGAAATTACTGGAAACCATGAGAAGAGAGGCGGTAAACGTCGGTCGGAATCATCGTTCCTTCCTTTCCGTTGTATGATTGAAAATTGTGGAATGATCGAGGTTCCATCTCAGGGTAACTTGTTCTCCTGGGTGGGGCGTCGTAGTTGTGGCGTTACGGGTCGGAGAGTTCGTCGTCTTATCAAATCGCGGTTAGATAGAGCTTTGGGTAATGAAGAATGGCACACAATTTTCTCCCACACAAATGTGGAGTATTTAAAATTATGGGGCTCTGATCATAGACCCCTCCTAGCTTCAATTCAGAATAGTCCTCACCGGTTTGTCAAAAATTTTATTTTTGCTAAAAGATGGATTGGCAAACCGGGGTTCAAAGAATCGGTCATTCAAGGCTGGACTTTCCCTTCTCAAGAAGGTGTTCCTCTTTTGCAAAAAGTTTCAAGCTGTAGAAAAACTATCTCTATTTGGAAGAAATCGAGTTCTACAAACTCTGAGAAGTTGATTATAGACTTACAAAATCAAATTGACCAAGCCCAGGAAGATGTGGCCATCTTTGCAGAAGATTTGTTAGCCCTAAAATGGAAACTATGCGATGCCTACAGGGAAGAGGAGATCTTTTGGAGGGCAAAGAGTAGGGATGGTTCCAAGTCGGCGATAAGAACACTAAATACTTCCATGCTATTACCAAGCAAAGAAGAGCAAAAAACAAGATCATTGGGTTGTTAAACCAAGATGGTATGTGGGTTGATAGTGAAGTGGATATAGAGGGTTTAGCGGTGGACTACTTCAGAGATATCTTCATTACTTCAAAGCCACAAGACTTCCATTCCGCCCTTTGGGACGTGCCAGTTTTGATCTCGGAAGCTATGAACCAGAATCTTATAAAAGAAATTTCCCCTGAGAAAGTTAGACGAGCCCTCTTTTCGCTCAACCCGGACAAAACTCTGGGCCCGGATGGAATGACAGCCCTTTTCTACCAACGGTTTTGGGATTTAACCGGGCCGGACTTAGTAAAAGTAGTTCAAGACTTCCATTCTTCAGGCTCTTTCGATAAGCGGTTGAATGAGACAAATATCTGTTTGATTCCAAAAACTGATAGACCGAGGAAAATGACAGAGTTCCGACCAATTAGCTTGTGTAATGTGAGTTACAAAGTTATTTCAAAGGTCCTTAGCTCCCATCTTAAAAAACTTCTTCCGGAATTAATTTCTGAGACTCAATCTGCCTTTGTGTCGGGAAGACTTATTACAGACAACATTCTTATAGCGCAAGAAAATTTTCATGCTCTACGAACCAATCCGGCATGCAAGAAAAAGTTTATGGCTATAAAAACGGACATGAGTAAAGAATACGATCGGGTAGAGTGGTCATTTTTACAAGCCCTAATGCTCAAAATGGGCTTCGCTCAAAAATGGGTAGATTTGATCTCTTTTTGCATTTCATCAGTCTCTTATAAAGTTCTTTTGAATGGAGCACCGAGAGGGTCCATTACACCGACGAAGGGAATTCGACAAGGAGACCCTATTTCTCCTTTTCTGTTTATTTTGTGTACCGAAGCTCTGGTGGCTAACCTCAAAGAAGCATAATGGCATGGCAGAATTCAAGGTCTTCAAATTTCTCCTGCTAGCCCTTCTACCTCCCACCTCCTCTTCGCGGACGATAGCTTATTTTTCTGTAAAGCAGACCCAATCCAAGGAGAGGAAATCATCAAAATTCTCCGCATTTATGGCGAGGCTTCGGGACAACAGTTAAATACTGTAAAGTCCTCGGTTATGTTTGGCCATGATGTTGACAACTTAGCCCGAAATACTATCAAGGAGTCTTTGGGTATTTTCCAAGATGGGGGCATGTGGTCATACTTGGGATTACCAGAGAAGATTCATGGCTCCAAAACTCAAGTTTTCGCTTTCGTGAGGGATAGGCTTCAAAAACAACTTAATACTTGGTCCGCTAAATTATTGTCCAAAGGAGGCAAAGAGGTCCTTATAAAATCCATAGCACAGGCCCTTCCGACATATGTCATGTCGTGTTTTCTTCTCCCTAAGGCTATCCGCTCAAAGTTGAGTAGTGCAATTGCGAATTTCTGATGGAAAACTAATGAACATAGTAATGGTATCCACTGGATTGCTTGGAATAAGCTTTGCACGCCACACTCTGATGGCGGCCCGGGCTT